CCGTAGCCGTTTTGGCGAGTCTTTGGCAAGAGATTCAGGCAGAATCGCAGATGGTGCTTGACAGGCTGACAAAGAAAGATTTCCAGGGATGCTTCCAGGCTTGGCAGCGGCGCTGGGATCGTTGTGTTCACTCCCAGGGGAACTACTTCGAGGGGGATGGATGAATTTAATACCTGAGATAAGTGTACGGGTTTTTTTTTTATAGGCGCAGTCTGGAAACTTTCCGATCGCACCTCGTATAGACGAACAGCGCTGCAATTTACTGAAACTCACCTGAACATTGAATAAGTGAGAATTGTTAGGACGAGACCAATAATACTGCATACGGAGCCTATGTAGCTGATGACACTCAGGACATGTTTGTGTTTGTCTGGTACGGGTAGCCCCATGTTGGGATCGAGAAGCACCGAGAACGCCGTCATGTGCGTCGACTCGCATTGGATCCAGTCCATACTCTGGTTTGTAAATATCCCATTATCCAGCCATTCCTGACCTAGAAAGTAAGCAATAAACCAACTTCCATCGAGGTTTATGATGGTGAGGGCTGAATATGAATTCTTGCGTCTGCTAATTTTTTTTTTTATGTTTAAGGCTTTGACCGGGATGTTAAATCTTATGTGGTACCGCCTGATTCGACTTCTAATGGTTAAGTGAAGTGTTTTCTTCGCGGTACGGTCGGGATGTTCTTTTGTTAAATCTTATGTGGTACCGCCTGATTCGACTTCTAATGGTTAAGTGAAGTGTTTTCTTCGCGGTACGGTCTGGATTCGTAAATGTTATGAAGACGAGCTTCGGCTTCAAAGGGTTAATAGTTTGAGTTAAGATACACATTGTAGTCAAGGTTACGATCTTGATAATTAAGGTCACACTGCAAGGGTCAGTTTGGTTGCCACCCAATTTACACCCATTCGTTTGGTGCTCCGCCATTTTGAACTCGAAGTGCTACGTAACGATATATCGATCTCAAGACACAATATTGCAACTTACTCTCAGCATCCCAGTAGACACAAATTTGTTTCGAATTTCCATTCTTGTTTTGGAAGTTATATACCAGCAATTCTGTCAAATTGCTTATCGTAATGTTGGAGAGGGAGGCCGAGATCACTCGTTGTTTTGCGCCATAACTCACGACGGAGCCTGAAATGCTATTGTTTTGTCGGAAGAATTTGCTGTTCCTGTACGACACAAACTGGACTCTAACGCTGCGTAGCTGCCGTAATGCTCTGTCGAGCGCCTCTCTTGGAATGTTGATAAAAATATCCTAGAGCAGAAGAAATATTCAAACATCAATAAAGGGTAATATATTTCAACGCAACTGAAACTGTAATAACAATTTATAAATTGTTAACCGTGTTCTTGGACTCACTTCACCGTTTTCGCCGAGTACTGACGAGTCCGTGCTCTTGATTTCTGGCGACGAATACGACACGCCATCCGCAATGGCTCTAAATTCACTAGGAGAAACCTCCCTTGCTTCCAAAGCCACGTTATCAGAAACTATTACAAGCCTCCCATCAGATGGCAGTCTCGCTGCAGCGGCGTATGTGTCGACGACCTGGACCAAGCCTCTCGTTACGAATCCGTTCTTGTCGCATTCCTCAAGCACTGAGTCATTGACGGCCATCATGTTGCTGATTACAACAAACATGCTGTGCGCTATCTGGAAACAACGTTATTAAAATACATTTGATTTATGCAAGATGGCCACCAATAAAGTACATGCGAGGATTAACGCAACTTTTAAAAGGAACTTTGCTGAGCAACTGGGAGTCATTTACATATTTAGACCCAACAGATACAGTACTTTGGTAAAATCAAAAGAATTCAGAATTTTTTAGGTCCAATACGGCTCTTCAAGTAGCAGAATCTCATATCTCCTAGTTATATTGTAGAAAGCCGTGACACTTCAGTAAAAGACATAGACGTAACGTAAAAATTTGATAATGAATCAAAATATATAATATAATTCAGGTCTATACACAAACTTTACTTACAGATGTTAAAATTTAAAATTAATATTGATATTTGCGCTATGATGATGATGAATAGCGCAAATATCAATATTAATTTTAAATTTTAACATCTGTAAGTAAAGTTTGTGTATAGACCTGAATTATATTATATATTTTAATTATAAAACACAAACATGACGCATTTAAACTATAAATGAATCATAATTTAAAAAGATACAATTAAATAATAACCCAAATTTTAAAATTAATTTCATCCTATAAACTTAAAGTCGAAAGGTAAATTCAATAACTAAAAAGGAAAATAGACCAGAAGAATTCTTATCCTCCCAGCTGACAAAACTTCTCGTTGCGCTGTTAAGATTCCTGCACCGCGTAAAAGTATTTACCACATTACGAAATATTGAAATATAACAAAAAAAGATGATATCGAACAGTTTACCTTCCTATCCATCAGAGCATATTGCAGAATCTTCTTTATCTGAACACTTGCATTTATGAAGATCTGAACATTTATCTGAGCTGGATCTTTAGTGAGCTGCTCCAGCTCCAAGCTCCACTGCTCAGCGTTTGTCGAATGCTAGAACAAATGCAACAAATGTACTCCGTATTCGCCAGTTTTGAAGTCAGAGCTCACTGATCACACGTTTTATTTTCCTGACGATCTCCAAAAAAAATAACAAACAGAAATCAAATTCACACACAATTTTCCTACGACCCACGTACTAAATCATAACCTCAAAATTCTGCGTACATAACCTAGAATCCTACGACCCACGTACTAAATCATAACCTCAAAATTCTGCGTACATAACCTAGAATCCTACGACCCGCATACTAAATCATAACCTCAAAATTCTGCGTACATAACCTAGAATCCTACGACCCACGTACTAAATCATAACCTCAAAATTCTGCGTATCCTACGACCCA